AGGTTCTTGTTCTTTGGGCAACTGCAACAATAATAAAAAAAGATTGCCTACTATTAGTTATCGGTAAACTAAGGTTAATGTATGATTATTTAATCTTTCTTATGTGCACATTTGATTTTCGGCATTTCTACGATCCTTGCAAGTAAAAGAAGTAACTTGCCTCATTCACTCTCATAATTTTTTGATACATGTACTTCTGTTGGAAGTAGTTCTGATCTTAGCTTTTCTTTAACTTCTTATCCAACTAAATTTCAGATTGAAGGTACTTCGTTTTCTCATGTTATTTGTATACAGAAATCAAAAACTTACTTATTAACGAAATTCCACAACCAGCATGCGTCTTATTTTTACACCAATTTACAAAAAAAATATCATTTAGAACCAGCAAATCACAAGAATTTGATCGTAATAATTTATAGTTAGTATAAATAGGACTTCAATCCGATAGAATATCGGTCATATCTAATTACTACCGATCTACTACTATTTTTACTATACTATATATGTTATCGTTTAAACAAAAATAAACATATTTTTGGTTGCATTGATATCAATATATAAACTGCAATCAAACATAAATGCTAATTTTACTCTCAAACATATGTTATCGGGATAATGTGAAAACTACAATTTGATTTTTTTAATTAACACTGACAATTGCAGGAGGGGCAGATTCCACTTTCATCGTTGCCCTGCTCGGAGTCTAAAAAAATAAATAAAAAATTAATGTACTTGCTGTCAAAACATTAAAGAAAAAAGTTTACAGACAGGGCTGTATGAACTTAGAATCCTTTGCCCGTCCCAACAGGTATAAAAACGTCAAAAAAATTTAACGTGTCAGATCAAAATGGCCATCAGAGCGTGCCGCGTTTATAAAATCTTTTACTTCTTAATTAGCCGTGATTTAGCCATCACTGAAGATAGCTAATCCAATCTACTTCGTACAATAATAATAATATTTATACTTACCTCAAAAAATTGTGTTAAACTTTGGTGGAATTCTATTAATAACTTGTTTATGTTATTGTATAGATAGTTTTTTATCTTCACAAAAATAGAGAAATTCAGACATTAAAATTTGTATAGTGTTAAATTTTTGTATTGTGGATGCTGTTGCATTTTTTATAATACTTACTTAAGTCATACAATTTAATCTCTAATACTCTTTAGTTGTCCTAGAATTGAAATAGTGTACTACAATTGAGTGTTTTAAACAGAATGTGATCATGAATTGATTCTTTAATATCTTAGCATAAATTGGCCACTTCGTGCCAATGTTTGTGTGACACATATACATTTTCCTACCTGTTATGGATGTTAATAAGTATTTCAGTATGTCTATATGTTATCTAGCACTAGGGTTACTATCGCATAAATTGCAGATGACATATCAAACTTTACAAAACCCCCAGATAATAGAATGAAATTGAGGTTTTACTTTAAAAAAAATGTCATTGTTATAGATACAAAATAATATTCATTTCAAACATTAACTGTTAAGATTGTTTGTGACACGAAGTACAGAGCAACATAAACTGTTTGTTTACATAAACAGAAAAAAACTTTGTAGGTTGTGAAGTTATCAACATTTATTTATTTATTAAGATTAATTATCACTGTTTCAATTAAGCTCTCAGGTTAATAAATTTGAAATACACATGTGATGTTTTATTACAATAATCCTAATGGTCTATAAGTCATTTTAATAATATTAGTTATTAAAAACTATTTATGATTTCAGTTGCAAATTTCATACCTACAAGAAAGGGGAGTCTGCTGCTTGTCCACAATGGATTTGCATTCAGATTAAAGAACAAATTAGCATATGGAAAGAAGCAATGGTATTGCACATCAAGGACAAAAACCGGTTGCCAAGTAGATGTTACTACAGTGGTGTATCGGAACGGTAACCTTATCAAACGGGTGCGCAATATTCACAATCATCCAGTGCCAGGATTCTATCGGAGAAATGATGGATCTTTTAAAGTTGTCTAGTGTTACATCAACACTCCAATGTGTATTTAACCAAAAGGGCCCATTTAGAATGTGCTTTTGACATTTTCTTTAATGTTAGAGTAAGGACCATTAAAAGTTATACCAGTGATTTAGATACAAACCTAGTATCAAAGAAAAATAATGACTGATATTTTAAGGTTATTTATATCAAATGAATCACCAAATATCAAGAAACTTGTTTGCACAGCCAGTGCAATTCCACTTTTATTGAGTATGTCCACAGAATAGATAAAAAAAAAAGAGTATGGCCTATGTGGTGATTATGATAAACTATAATTAATGTATGTTTCTACCTCCCTTGTCTGTACCTCATTTTTATAAATAAATATTGGTAAATTAATTATTTTTACTACAAAGTTTATAAAAGTAGTACAAACTGACTGATAAGTGATTAGTGAAATTTTTGTTTTACTGTAGGTATTTATGACTGATTGTAATTAAAAGACTGATGAATACTCTTATTTTTTAAGTATTTTGTTCTTATTTTTAAGTATTTTGTATAATAGGCGAGTACTAATGATTTGATTTACTGCTATAAAATTATTTTTAGATAAGTACCTACCTAAAAAGATTTGGTCTGTTTATGTAACTCTATTAAGACTACAAATATAAAAAAATAATTAATTACTGATGAATATAAATATATGAATGAAAAGGCTGATAAATTAGAATACTCTTTATCTATTTTTAGTAATTAGTATACTGCTGTAATATTTACAGTACTAGTGATTAATTTTCTAATCCTTTTTGCTATGGTACAAATTATTGAGTAAATGGTGTAAGATAACTAGGTACTTGTCCAATATTGTGTATTTAAATAAATGTATTTTGTGAAATGCTCTTGTTTCTGTATGTCTCCTTTCTTTCTTGGATAACTAAATACCTACAGAAAGATGAAGGTACATTCAATTTCAAATTAATTGAACATTCGTAAATGACCTGCCCTAAGGTTTTCATGGAGATTTTACATGGTATTCATATTGAAACGCATTTTCTAACAGAAAACTATAAATGATTAAAAAGAAAGTCAGTCGAGTACAGATTTGTAGGGAACCCAAAACCACTACGAACATCTAGGGCAGCAAAAAAATTAACAAACGGCCACGAATTTTGGTTGCGTCTAAATCTTCAGTCTTGTGAATAGGAGGTACTGGAGGATTCATGTTACGTTTCTGAAGACGGAAAAAATATTGATCTATTGGTTTTCATGGTGTGGAGGTGGCCGTATGAAGGGGTAGAATATAGGAAAAAAATATTCGAGCGCGTGCGTCAGACATTGAGAAGGGATGTTCTGAAACCTTCAGTAAGTATTCTCCTATTCGAAAGACTGACGATTTGGTGGCAGCCAAAAGTCGAGGCAGTTTTTTTTTTGCTGTCCTAGACGTTCGCCACTACGTAGGGGGCTCGTATGGTGGGACTACTTAACAAGGGGCCAGGTTGCCCCCTCTAAGTTAAGCTACCGCGCTCGAGTAAATTCAAAAATACCCGCTTGGGCTCCCCTACTATTAAGCGTATTCAATCGATTATACCAGGGCGAGTGTTCTGAGTAGTTCTTCTCCTTTAATCCACTTTCCTCCAAAGGAACACACGCGCTGGTCTACGTTGCCTCCGGTTTACTGTCACAACGATCCTTACACGAACAATAAATAGGACGCAAAAAATTAGTCACGAAATGGCAAGTGGAAGTTTTTGCCCACGCACGTGTACCCTACTTCCTACAATCCGGTTTCTTTTAAAAGAAACGTGAAGATGCATTTGTGCAGGCTGGCATGGTGAGGATGGTTGTTGTAGCAGTTCATAACTGTTTCAGCAGCTATCATCGCCTCTTGATTTTACTACCACTTATCAGGTAAGTCAGCTGCCCACGCTTAATTTTTATTTATTTATGTCTAATCAAAGGACCCCGCAGAATCCTTATGGAAGCTGGCTTTCGGACAATTTTTCTGTAACTTTGGGAGGTGATAGCTCATGACACGTGGAGTAAAAGACCCCATGGGCCCAATGGCCAAAAGTTCATAGACGAGGAGCTACATTGTGTCAATGTCGAAAATGTATTATGTAAGCTGGGAGGCCGAACTTACATAGAAAAGCTTATTTCATTCTAGTTTCAATGTAGCTATTCCATATAAGGATGTCTCTGGATTTTGTTTTCTTTTATTCCACACAGTTACAGAAAAATTGGCCGAGAGCCAGCTTCCATAAGGATTCTGCGGGGTCCTTTCATCCATTCCGTTTTCCTTTTGCTCAAAAGAAGAAGAATTATAGCGATATCGTACATTTGTGACAGAAATCAACAACAACATTTTAGACTCATTTAATTTATTAAAAAAAGAACACAGTGCTATAACTTAAGTAATAATATGAAATAAAATTAACTTAATGTGGCCACACTCACCTTCATGCCGCTTTATCAAGCGACACAAAGAAGCGAGCGAGTCGGCATATCTTGAGACTTTTTATTGCTGACTCGCTTCTTGGTGTGAAGTGACGGCGCGTCCTGCCGCTTGAACCTGAGTGGTTTCTGTCATGCCACTGGATATCAAGCCACTTAATAAGGCGCCAGGATGGTGAGTGGCTACCATTTATTAAATTATACGATAAAATACCATATCTTACATAGTGATATATTCAATAGAAATTAAATAATATCAATACGTACCTAATGCATATGAATCTTATAGCTCTTTGAAGCTACATGTTATAAAGAAATCAAAAACAAAGAAAAAGTAACTCAAAGATGTTTTTTATTTAATTTCATTTGATTTAATTTACATGATAAAATGATTTAATTGTGTTTTAGTTTGGTAGGACTGTATTAGTAAAATCAATTGCATTTAAAAAAAATCGGCTACGAGCTGTTATAAGTAGATTTTAAAAATAATTTCAAGTGAAGTAATCATTGAGTGGAATGTACACAAAATATTGGTACAATTACCTAGCCATCTGGTGGCATCCATATTCCATCCTCGGAGGGACAGTCATTTGCCCTGATCATGGAATAAAGGTGATCGCACATATTTCAGCATCGTACGCGCTGCATTTAGAATTTGTATGCTTTTTATACCTACGTCCATGGTTGCATGCAGCCCTAATCATGGAATAAAGGTGATCGCACATATTTCAGCATCGTACGCGCTGCATTTAGAATTTGTATGCTTTTTATTATACCTACGTCCATGGTTGTATGCAATCATATGAAACCTTGCACACTTCCATTATCATACATCTATATATTTGCGATCACCTTAATACTTTACAATAAAGTATTTGTAATGTCAGTACTTCATTTGGCTAATCGTATTTGCTATTTGTAAACAGACTGTTGTCAACAACAGTCTATATACTTATCATGCTTTTGACTGGAAACAGTGTTCGACCGACGCCGACGGTACGTCCTAAACGGCTGCGCTGACCGTCGGTTGCGTGCGACAATGCATTCAGTGCTACGCTGACGGCGAATGGCGACGCTTGTGTATAGTTCATGAGAAAAATGAACTCTTTTGCTGTAAATGCTCTAATATGTGCACGCTATTTTTTGCGCAAACGATGGAATAGAAGGCGCCGAAGATATCATGTACACCCGATACTTGTAGAACGGTTACTTGAAGGCGAATTCTGCAAACTATTTTCGAGATTGCAAGAAGACGAGGAAAAGTTTTTTGACTTTTACAAGATGTCAATCAGAAGTTTCGATGAACTAAACGCAAGGTTACATGATACTTTAAAACATTCCAATATGTTTCGAATTTTCCAACCTATTGAAACGACGACGGACGAACCCGCATTTCAGTAATATCTGCTCTGTATCAATATTCATTTTTGCTTTGAGTGTACGTACGTGTGTATAGTCGGTCGCTCCGTCAGTGAAGCACTGAACGCATCCATACAATCTCATAGCTCGTCGGTCGACTGACGTACGCGCGTACCATCAGCGCAGCGTAGCTGTGTGCGCATTCATAGAATTTCATACATATTAGCAATATCTATGGAATAAAACAGTGCTCCGACCGACGGTCAGCGTTGACCACTGTTTTCAGCCTTAAGAACGACAAGAACAGCTGACGTCAAGTTTACAAATAACAATCACGAATAGCCAAATGGATTAACGTTTTTAGAAAACCATCACCATCACAAAAGGATCGTCCTTTTCTAATCGGACTCAAACACAAGTGGTTCTCTGAGTGCACCAATAACATTGTCAGCCTTAAGGTAATACTTGGGCGGAGGGTGACAGTGCTCTTCAAAGGCCGACGTGACAACGTTATCGCTGTCAGTGAATATAACACCCCGACAATTCTTGTCGTTGGAGCAAACCCATCTGGCCTTGTTGTGCTTGAAATACTGCTTCCTATAGGTGAATTGACGGAAGAGCAGCAACTCTTTACCTTTTCGCGACGTGATGACTACCGCCACATCTGTCAATCAAAAATATATGCAGACTATGGGTAATTTTAGGAATATTAGTGAAGGAGCTACTCGCAGGACGGCAACAGCTGGTGAGGCACTTATCATCAGGTGAGGTGGAGTAATTTGTTCAGAACTTTATATAAAAAAAGGTTTGTGAGATCGTGGAAAGGTGATCATAAATTTACACCTCCGTCAGCTCCTCATGCATCAAAAGCTACGCAAAGTCGTTGGATCCCTGCAGTGCATGCAGTCGTTAGTATTCGCATTGGGCCTGTGTGGTGGATCATGGTCCATTCTACCTATCCGTATCTAGGGTCTGTGCCCTAGCAATGGGAATATTAATACGCTAATTATGATGCACTTGTCGAAGAGATTTAAGGGCACTGTTAAACATTTGAAATTTTTATAACGGGTCGATATAAGAAATAAAAACATTTTATAAAAAAAATCCTTACCATCTTGTTTGTCATCAACTCGCTCAAGTCTCGCTGGTTTCGGATGGGAGTGCGTTTCGTTAGTCATAATGATTTCATCATCCGAGTTCAGGCACACGAATGCACCGCAACCCTTATTGACGGAACATAGCCATCTGTTACCATGCTTGGTGGAGTATGCTCTCCTGTATCTTTGTCCTTTATATTGCAATATCGTGGTTCCTCGTTTGGATTCAACGAAAAGAGCTTCTTCTTCGTCTGCGCTATCATGAGTGATGTCTTCATCCTTACTAATGACAGCAAAGAATTGAGCGTCTTCTGGGACGCCTTTTAATAATACTTCTGTCAACAACAAAAAAAGTTTTATTTGTATCACTGTAATAAAAAACAATCAGTTTAAAATTTATATAAATGAAAGGGATAAATTGAGAAAGAGACATTGTTTTACAGCATAATTTTATTTTGCATTCAGAAAATTAACATTAAAAAAAGACAATTTATATATCAACTGAGATCAACATGATTGCAACAACAAAGAAACTAAAATAATTTTAAAACTTGAATTCAATAAGAATCAATTGGAACAGATCACATAACGCAACGATCCCGAAATAAATCGATGTAGAAAAATACTAATTGTTTTACACAAAACCAGATTTACATGATTCTGTCTTGAAAGACCTTACACAATGTTGGTTCGTGCGTGTGTTTATTCCCTATGAACATAACTTCGAATTTCTCGTTCATATAAAGGTAGACGCGACATTTGGTGCGGCAATTTTCGCTGCAATACCATTTCGTTATACCACCATGCATTTGGATCTCTTCATTGAATGTATAACCGTTTACTATAAGGAGGGTCTTGCCACTGGTCAAAGTCACTACTGCAACTAAAGAACAAAGATTTGCTCCAGAACAAAGAGGTGATGATATTCCAATAATCGCTAACTACTTACACCGACTAAATACAGTTCCTTATAATATTTTCGACTTCTATTCATATATAGTCTTAACAAGTGTATTTCTTGCCTCCACTAAAATGATGGCATAAAGACAGTGTTTTTTACAGATTCTGATGAAATAATAATAAATCTTGAATATGCATAATATAATATAATCCTTTTTAAAAAGCTAAGTCTGCTCTTAATATCTTCTATTTAATTTTATAGGACTATTTATACTCAGAATACATCAAATCTAGGTATATACATGTAAGGTACCTACTAAATTTTCTAGTCTACTTGATAAGAATTATGTGTAGTGTGGGTACTAGTATATGTACTACTTATTATAGATAATATTATAGTTCATTAAATCACATCACAGCATATAATTTTACACTAACGCGTTATTTGGCAATAGTAACCGCGTAAAACATCAATACATTGGTATAATGTACATTTACTTTATAGTTTCATAATAATAAATATGTAATAAAAAAATGTAATGATTATAATCTATTATCTATGTTTAGTCCAAATTAAATACTTAGAGATTGTGATATTCATACCATCTATACAACTTTCGGATAAATTAATAAAACATGCATTTATATTTAAAGCAAATTTAAATATATGCGTCTTATTCCTTTCTTTCTTCTCGTAACAACTTTATATCCCATCAAAAACATTCTGTAAAAAACTAGCCAAGTCTCGATGGAGCTGCTTGTTAATCTCTAAAAAGTAATGAAATCTAGACAAAGTCGTGCCAAGTCTAAGGTTCCTTACTGCGATTTTTTTATTATTCTAGTTAATGTTGTGTGACTTGGCCGTTGAAGGGTACACAAGGGTACAAAACTAGGTGCTACAGGTGATTGCCCGACTTGCATTCAGTCGGGCACGTTCTCTCGCCGCGGCTACACTTCAGTACGTATAAATATTTTACGTTTTCACTGACAAAAAGCCCTATGTGTGTTTTTAGATAGTACACAAATTACACGGGAGCTATTAGAGACAAGAAAACATCATCGTTTCATTCGTAAGTGAAGTTTTAAAGAAATTAATGTAACAATATTTAGTGGTTACTTTTTTTGACAGTTGCTAACACCGTTGACACGTGGAGGCTATACAGCGAGACTTCATCTGCCTTATACATGAACAATATGAATAAATTTCAATTAGACTACTTTAATGTGCTCAGTGGCGGCTGTTGCCAAGAGAAGTTGGTTCGGGGATTACTTGTGCCATTTTAAAATACAATAATGTTGGCGTATGACCTGTCTATATAATTATACATCATTGTGTACAAACAATTTACAATTATAATTTAACATAACGGCCCTCTTTCGTTTTAAAGAAGTTAGGTGGATCATGATTATGGTTCCTGTAGTAATGTGTTATTTTCCCCTCGACATCGAAACGTATTCTCGCTGTGCATTTGGATGAGGTCCTCCTGGAACAGGTCCAATACCGGTTGTCACTCGTCACCTGGTAAAATGTGTAATTTTCCGCCAATAACAGGGAGCGTTTGCATTTATTCGACGGAATCAGTTCGAACTGCAAATCTGAAATCAATTCATGAGAAATGATTATTCTTTTTGGATTAAATATATTTCTGCTTGTTTTAAATTATTCATTTATAATATTATTTTAATGAAGGTATAACATGTAACATTTTTTGAGTCGTTTTGACAACTAAACTGCCCCATTATCAAATTAGGACTCAAAAAAAATAAGTAAGAAAACTCGGAAATACATAATTTCTATTTATTTGAACAAAAGCTATTCTAATCCTGTGAGCAAAAATTACAAAACAAAAATACAAAGTCAATATTTTCCTGACAACGAAAAGAATAGTATGAGCTGATGCCGAGCTGGCATCATAGACATAATATTTTGTTAAATAACACTAAAGGTTAAATTAATCGATATGTAATATTAAAGAAAACTAATTAAAGAATTGCAATATGTGTACTATGTAGTAATGACCAGTACTTATAATATGATAAAAACGAAAAAAAAATTATAACAGTCAGTCCACTGTTCATCCTGCTATCACTGTCTTAATATAATACCAAAAGTTTAGAAAAGTGAGTTTTTTTTTTGTTTTTACTAAGGCTATAGATGCTGATGTAGATACTTCTGGGCTTGGAATCGGAGCGGCTGCTGTCAGCATAATATAATTGTCTCGGGTTTGCATCACCTTGGATAGTCTTTTAAGTATTTTACTTCTGCGTCAACAACTATTAAAGTGAAACTTTTATGAAATAGCCACAATTGTTTTTCATCTTTAGCATGTCGCATTACAAAAATTGAACACTGATACTGACTCTACCATTAAAAAAATATTTTAATAAGGAACCAGTACCTTAATTTATTCTAAGAGAGGTTTCAAGAAATAAATCAAGTTTTCAAATGAACACAAACCATAATCCCCCTTATTAATAAACAAGGAATAAGCTTAGACTAGTTACGCCGTGTCCATTTTATAGACAGAGGCAAAACATGGAGTAACTAATCCAAGCGTAATCTACGTTTATTAATAAGGGGGAATAGGTTTATAGATATGGTGTAAAAAGATTTTGACCGATGCGACGACGCTCTAAAACGTAGTAATTGAACTTCTTCGCCGTATTTGCAAAATTAACTTTTAGTTAAATCAGAATCCAATATAATATTGTTTGAGAATGGCGCGTCCCTTCAAGATCTCTAAATCAAAATTACTGACAGATGGCGGAAATACTGTCACACACAAGAACCTTCCAGGCTTGTGCTGTTCACGCTTGTCTTTGGTATGCAAGTCAATAAATTCCTGAACCATATATCCTTCATTCTGAAGTAACGCTCAAAATTATATTTGCTGGGTGTTTCATAAATATAGGGATTTAAATATTTAGCTGTTTCATTATGAAGACAATGGTGTCTATTTTGGCGTGACACTCTAAACCTAAAATTTAATTTGACAAGTGTGTATCCTTGTCATTTTTTATATAGAATGAAAACGAGAGACTGATTTTAAATTTTGTTTAAAGTTTAGAGACACTATGCCCGGCACGAATGGATGTGAAAACGCTTTCATTAAACGTTTTTGAGCAAACTTAGTTTCTCCTTTAATAACAGTTGATGTTTGTCACTGTGAAATCTTAATTGCTTTATTTGTTTTTGCCTCGTTATAGTATCTCCTTTTCCAGGAGTAAGTCTACTACATATTCGTCTATATATTTGCGTCATTTTGTAAAATATTGGAAAACTGTTTTTGTTTTAGCACATTTCCTGTTTTCTTCTTGTTAATGTTGATTTTCCTTTTCACTTTAATGATCCCTCATTTTTGCTTTCTTAGCTCTTATTCTGTATCACACTATTTTTTTCCCCAACAAACGCTAACGATCTCGTACCATCAAATATTTGGCTGCCATACGCAGATACAGAAGGAAAATTTACAGAAATTGAACACGCAACACTGGAAGGTAGATTATTCACTGGGTTTTGAATTTGCATTTTAATTTTTCATATCGTCTTTTGGAAGCCTCTCTCCATTTCTGACGCAATCTTTTTTGTTCACTAGTACTTATGTCTTTGATGGTTTTAATAAACCCTTTTTCTTTTTTGCGTTGGTAATATTCTCGGTCCTTTTGACGTTGCACTTCTAGAGCCTCAGGATTCTTTTTTATTTTTTCTCTTAACCTACGCATGAACTGTTTCTTCTGTTCTCTTCTTTTTGCTTTCTTCCCTTCCTCAGATAACTTCTTACTAGTGTTAGCCAGCACCAAGCCTTTAAATAAAAAGATACATTTTTATTTAAAAGCCCACATCACATAGTCCAAATCCATATAAATGTTATATAAATTAGACCTTCAAAATGCAGACATTTTAAAGAAATTAAAAAAAAAACATTTTAATTATTTAATTTAACGTCCTCGAAAAGAAAGTTTTTTTTTCAAAAATTTTTGAAAAGCAATGTATGATGCCCTGGATAAATTTAGAACTTTTTACTGTCACTTTAAGCTCAGAATGCATTCAGAACTAATAAAGCTTTGATTATATTTTTTTTATTTTTAGTATTTATTTAACTGCTATCATCATATCATCATCAGCCTCTTTATGTCCCCACTGCTGGGGCACAGGTCTTCCCTATGGATGGAAAAGGGAGATTGGGCCATGACCCACCACGCGGGCCCAGTGCGGATTGGCGGGTTCTAACGATTGCAGATGCAACCGGGACCAACGGCTTAACGTGCCTTCCGAAGCACGGAGGAACTCGAGATAGAAATTTTTGGTCACCCATCCAATGACCGACCACTGCGAAAGTTGCTTTAACTACAACGATCGCAGCCGAACGCGCTAACCAACTGCGCCATCGAGCTCCTCGTCTAACTGCTATACTGATGTTTTAATCTAAAGAAGATTGTACAAGAAAAGAAAAACATTTAATTTTCTTTCGCAAATGTCGTGAAATATTTTTTATTCAACAATACAAATCAATCAATCTGATGTAAAGGGACCAGTGTTCTCTTTAAGCGCGTCTTCACTTTTTCTTAAACTTCATTTTAATTGCAATTCTACCTAATCTTAGATATTGCTTCCATAGCGCTCGCTTCACTCAGGGTTGCCAACTCTTCTATATAATATAGTATCCAACTAGGAAATCAAATACTATATTTCTAAAATATATATATATAGTAGACGAAACTAGTATATTGTGCTTAAACCAGAGTTTTTCCAGAAAAGGCCATTAATCTCACACATACAAATATCATCTTAATTATCATTCAATATATAAGTATACAATTATATTGTTGCAATTTACTTTATTTTTTTAGTGTTTTGATAAAATATTATAACATACGAAAAATCATAATTAATTTGCCAAAAAAAATAAAAATATCTTCATTCTACCTACACCAATACGACCTTTGATATAAAGTGCAGGAGATGCATCATCGTCTTTTCTAATGTTAACTTTACCATACTTAATCCATTTGTATTTTTAATAATTTGCAAGTTTACGAACTTTACGAGTCACTGCATGTAATTTGTTTTTTACACAATGACCCATCTGTAATAGTATGGGATGCCTTGTCTTCACAAGGTGCAGCTTGGGCTTCCCATACTATTACAGATGGGTCATTGTGTAAAAAACAAATTACATGCAGTGACTCGTAAACTTGCAAATTATTAAAAATACAAATGGATTACTTACTACAAATGGAGTACTTCTACTCCCACCATACTTCAGCCCTTAATGTAGAGCCGAACTTCTAGGCAACATTTTTTTTTTTTTCAAGATATGGCCATGGGTTTTGTTCGCGTCCAAATCGTCAGTCTTTTGAATAGAAGCTACAGGTACACATAACGGTTCATTTCGTTTAAAGTTTAGAGAATAGTGCCCGAAGCCGACACCAGGTTGTTTAAACTTTGTGAGCCATCATAGTTTCTTTAATTAAAAGTTGGTGTCTGTCACTGTGACATCTTAACTGCTGAATTTGTTTTTGTATCGTTATAGTATCTTCTGTTCCAGGAGTAAGTCTACTACATATTTGCATCACCTGTAAAATATTGGAAAGATGTTTTTGTTTTAACACATTGCCTGTTTTCATCTTGTTAATGTTGATTTACCTTTACACTTAAATGATCCCTCATTTTTTCCCCAACAAACACTAACGATCTCGTACCATCAAATTTTTGGTTGCCATACGCTTCCCAGATGCAGAAGGAAAATTTACAGAAATTGAAAACGCAATACTGGAAGGTAGGTTGTTCACTGGGTTTTGAATTTGCATTTTAATTTTTCACGATGTTTTTGGGAAGCCTCTCTCCATTTCTGACGCAACCTTCTTTGTTCACTAGTACTTATGTCTTTGATGGTTCTAATAAACCCCTTTTCTTTTTTGCGGTGGTAATATTCTCGGTACTTTTGACGTTGCTCTTCTAGAGCTTCAGGATTCTTTTTAATCTTTTCTCTTAACTTACGCATGGCCAGTTTCCCCTGTTCTCTTCTTTTTGCTTTCTTCCCTTCGTCAGATAACTTCTTCCTAGTGTTAGTCAGCACCAAGCCTTTAAATCAAAACATACATTTTTATTTAAAAGCCCCCATCACATTGTTTAAAGCTATTGTTTATAAATATTATATAAAGTAATAAAAATGCAGACACTTTAAAAGAATTAAAAAAAAAAATTTGATTATTTAATTTAACGTCCTCGAAAAGAAAGCATTTTTGCATACATTCAGAACTAATGAAGTTTTGATTATTAAATTTTTAGCATTTATTAAACTGCTAGACTAATATTTTAATATAAAGAAAACTGTACAAGAAAAAAATATACATTTAATTTTCTTTCGCAAATGTCGTGAAACATTTTTTATTCAATATTATAGTGAAGTCATAATAAATAATCTCAAGAATACAAATCATTCAATCTGATGTAAAGGGACCAGTGTTCTCTTTTAGCACGTCGTCTCTTAAACTTCAATTTAATTACAATACAACGTAATCTAAGATATTGCTCCCATAGCGTCCGCTTTATTTAGGAATGCCAACCCTACTATATAATATAGTATCCTACTAGGGAATCAAATACTATATAAATATAAAATAATATATAAATATATTAAATATGGTATATAGTTACGTGTACATATAGTACACGTAACTACTATATTTTGCTTAAAGCAGACTTTTGCCAGAAAAAGCTTTCTTAAAATAAAAACGGAATTATTAAGGTATAGAGCAGCGAAAATATACTCCTTTCGAAAATAAAGTAAATATTTTAACAACATACTTTATAGTTATGTTTTTATTTATTTTTAAGCATTTAACTGCTAGATGTTTAAATCTAAAGAAAAGTTTACTAGAAAACATACTTTATTTCAATTTTCTGTGATCTCTAAAAATATAGTATATTTTTAGAGATAACAGCTTCGAAATACTATATTTGATAGAAAAAAAGTTGGTAACCCTAGCTTCACTTCTGAGTCTGAGTCTGCGTGTGTCCGCACACCGCGTGCGTTGGTCCGTGCCAAGACCTCGGCAGACAATATTTTCATAATACGGGGACAAACGTCCTCCGCGGACAAAAGTACGATGTCTGTGCATGCCATTAATCTCACACATACAATTAGCATCACAATTATCAATTAAAATATAAGTAAACAATTGTATTGTTGCACTTTACTTTTAATTCTATTACTGTTTTGATAAAATATTATAACATAAGCAAAAACATAATTTTTCGCCAAAAACCAAAATAATTTAGAGAGAAAAAAAATCGAAAGAAAATTATCTTCATTCTACCTTCACCAATACGACCTGTCCTTGATATAAAGTGCAGGAGATGTATCATCGTCTTTTCTAATGTAAGCTTTACCATACTTAATCCATTTGTATTTTATATCATTTGCAAGTTTACGAACTTTACGAGGCACTGCATGTTATTTGTATTTTAGACAATGACCCATCTGTAATAGTTTAGGGAGCCCAAACTTGCACCTTGTGAAGTACTCCCACCATACCTCAGCCCTGTATGTAGAGCCGAACTTCTAGGGCAACAAAAATGATTTTTCAAGATATGGGCATGGGTTTTGGTCGCGTCTAAAGTCTTTTGTATAGAAGCTACAGGATACACAAAACGGTTCTGAAGACGGAAAAAATATTGATCTGCCGGTTTGCATGGTGTGGGTATGTCCGTACGAAAGGGTAGATAAAGGAAAAATATATTCGGGCGCGTCAGTCATTGAGAAGGAATTTTACCAGAACCCTTAGCTCCTATCAAAAGACTGAAGATTTGGACGCGACCAAAAGTTATGGCCGTTCGTTGCAATTTTTTTTGCTGCCCTATAAGTTTGGTCCAATAAAGGAGGCTCAGGTATGGTCGGAGTACTTCGCAAGGAGCAATGTTGCCCCCCTTACGTTAATCTGCCGCGCTCGAGTAAATTCAAAATTCTCCGCTTGGACTCCTCTACCATAAATGAAATAATATACAGGCTGTAAAAAATCCTTTAACGAAGTCGAAGGCCACGTATTTTCCTGGGATATTTATGGTTATGGAGATATTGAAGGTCTAAGTCACATTTTTTTTTGCAAGATTTATACATCAATATTTTCAAAACGTTATTTAGAAACTTTTTCACCGACGCACTTACACACAGGCACAATTTTTGCGTAGCGCCACAGTAACGCGCCGCGCTATACATTGCGTACTGGAAAAAAATGTATTTTTTTAACTTAAAAATACAAATTATATCCATCTATAATATTTTGTAATATTACTTGTTTGGGTGTACAGAATGCGTAGTTTTAGTCTTTATCATAGGTTTTTTACACCCTCTTTATATGTAGATGTGATAGAAGTGAATTTCACATACAAGCTTGTAGAACATTTTCTATATCCTCTTTTTCTTTAAATAAAAATACATGTCATTAATTACTCTGAGTGTCATTGTGTATTCCTTTTATTTACAAATAAATTCCATGTTTAAAACAATATCTAAATAAAAAAATATTGCTAAACAATATAAAAGTATTACCACATGAATAAAGAAATGAATAAAAATATTTCTAGTAAAATTTTCTTCGAATGTTAAATGCTTAAAAGTGTGCGTTTTGTTTATTTAAAATTATCCTCGTGTGTCAACCCTTCCAAAAAATTTGAAAATATTGACTGCTCTATAGAAGCTTTGTCTCTGTACGGATCTCTTTACTCATGTGGTGTTACAATGTGTTTTTTACATTTTCGATTTCGATTCAGATTCGATTTACAATTATTCTAAAAAAGTTTATCTTTTTTCATTAGTAAAAATTTGTCTCTAAGCTAGTTTTAGGTACGTATTTTAGGTACTTACAATACTTTGTACATTAAGTTCTGATATATTGAAATCTAAAATAGGTCGATTATTAAAAATTACCGACATTTATAATGTAATTAGCTTAAAATAACTCTGAATGGGTAATAAATTGAAAATATTCTGTTTCTAGATATTTTCCTTGAAATATTATAGAATCCATCAAAACATAAGTGATATGAGTGAAAATCGAATATGAAAATTCATTGAAAATTAAAACTGCGAATTTTTTACATCAACATATTGTACATTTTGTGTCGCAGTGTTATAGTTCCTAGAACCAGAAGTCAGTCAATAAGTATTATAAACCTGTCCCACCTCCAAAGATTAGCAAGAAGCAAGTAGAATCAAGTCTCACGACAACGGTCAACTAGAAGGTACACCGTGCTGAGGGTACTTCTTGGTCTCGGAAGTTGCCACTTTGAATTATTTGTTAAAAAGGTCTCTTCTTAATGTTTTCTCTTTTAAATACGCTTCACGTCATGGTGGTGACAACACTAACTTATTCTGGTGTGAAATCATAAGTTCTGGGCCCAAGAAATACAGTTTAGCCAACTAGAGTCGAGTTACAACTCTTAGAGACGCCTTCAAGTTGCGTTCTCCAAAAGAATATTGCCTTTTCAAATAAGGCAACGCAGAAGAGGAGCATAACTCTCCAAAAAAGTTTTGCTCAAGATTAGACACAGTTGGCAAACAAGAAAAGTTTTGATATTTCTTGCTACTACGACGAGCTAGTTGAGAGAAAGAGAGAGAGTAATTGCCGGCAGTGTCAAAAAACGGCATACCAGAGACTCTTACAAGATCCTTGAATGAGTACAGACAGCTCGTCGCTTCCTGTTTACAGTGAAACAGATGTTTTAATTATTTATCTAAAAATAAGGATTACTTTTTCGCTGTCATTTTTAACGATATTCACGTAACCAAGACTTTCTGCTATATTAGTTCAGGTTACTAGGGCTTTCTCGAAATACAATCCATCAGGTGTTTTTTCATAAACTGGAGGGCCGTGTGTATGCTCATGCGAGATACACACTAGCTCGTAGTCATCATTAACGTGGAGACACACGCTACACTTCCACCTGATTCTACCGGAACAGTACCATCTTTCACCACCAGACATTGGGGAAGGGTTTGTAAAGGAATATCCGTTCAGCATCAAGAGTGTTGCGCCATCGATCGCTGTGACCACTGACACTGCAAAGAAATAATGACAACCACAATTATTCACAATATGGATTAGGATAGGTGGCCCATCTGCAATTTATTAATTTATTTAAGAAATTAGTGTTTGGGCGCTCATTCTCTTTTTTAACCTACATTTTGATAAGTAAGTCCGTAAAAAAATGTAACACTTTCTCCTCAGCACTTATATTTTTTATATGAAAGTTATCAGCGTAAAAACTTTATACAATGTTTTAAGGGTATTTGAACTTGAATGGAATCGATGAAAAAATCCAAAAATAGTATAGTACCTCTGTCACATTTTATCGAAGCCTTCGTCAAGTAATTAGCACTTTTCAGTAACTATATAAAACAAAGGACCTTTTTAGAGAACATAAAAACCAAATTAGTATAATCGAAAAAATATTTATTTTGAAACTTCTACTAGGTACTAACATTTCCTAGCTATTGATTGAATTTGGTGTTTTTGACAATATATACTAATACTATCTATATTGTTCTTTGAATTACACATAATTTATACATATGGAGCACGGTAGTTTTCCCCTGCCAAAACGACAAAACGAGCCAAGCAAAGCGCAGAGGCAGTTATCTTTTCTTGAAGCGCATCATCGTTTTTAGCCTTTATACCTTGGCTTGGGTTTGGATCATAGCAGATAAACAAAATTCTCGGGATATGTTCTCTCTCATTAAACATAATATTCAGTTTTTATTGCATCTCATACTTAAAATTTTATTGTTACCTACAGACCCTGATTTCGTCACTAACTTACTGGCGATCATTAAAATTCTTGGGAAAAATATAAAACTTGTAACTTTTGTCCCCCAACCCCTTAAACAAGGGCATGGAAGTATGTATGAGACTTCCGCAATTTTGACGCTAGTAATCTAAAAACTTATATAGCGATTCTTTGTTATTATAAATAATAAAAAATATGTAACAAAATATTAATGAAACAACAAAAATTTTAATTGACATTATACTTCTTATCATCATTAGTAGTGCGCAAACGTCTCCTGCCTCCTCGGTCCACCAGTAGCTAAAAATAATTGTCCTTTTCATCAAACGCGTCGATTTTCTTAGATAAGCTAAATGTAAGTTCCACTTGCAGCAAATTTGCTAAATCTCAATTTAACCAAAGAAAAATTACAAAATGTTGAAGTCAATGTGAAATGATTGTATGGTCTAAATCTAATTTCAATTAAATTGGGATTTAATTAAAACTGGACTGCAAAATTACTGCAAGTGGACTTGACAAAAGAAACTACTCAAAACATTTTGATGTTTCGTTACTACAAGAACTATTGTAGGTATAACAGAAGAGCAATGAACAGTGGATATTTTTTTCATCTTACGCCCACGCACATTGTGTTATTTCACCTCAAAATGACCACTCCCTTGATTAAAGATGAATCAGATAAAGCTCTTCATTCTAAGAGCAAGAGTAAAACTCCCACGATTCTAACTATAATAGTTTCGACGAAATCCCGGTTTTTCTTTTTTTGTACCTAAAAAAAATATTTTGTCTAAGCTATTACAGTTATTTTATTTTTTACATTGTATTTCAAAAGGTATTATTTTTATCCATATTATGAGTCTTCTATGGCTGCCCTAGAGCTTGTAGGAACCGAGAAATCGGCGATTTAGTGATTTTCGTTTTTAATTTTTTGTGCTCATGTTATGCAATATTAAAGCTTATAATTTAGTTCAAAATGTAGCTAATAATGTAGAATATCAACTCAAAAAATAACAAGCTTTAACTCGGTGGTATATCGGAAATATTAAGAATTTAAATTTGTGGGACAATGTCCCACATTTTGAAGACTTAATTTTGAAAACGTAGTTATGCTACTTTTTAAATATTATAGTATAATAACTATATAAATACGTTGTTATTATATTATTTACTATTTATATAAGATTATAAATGTGTTTGGTATGTTTGTTACATAATCATCCACTTTTGTGGGCCAACTTGTTTGGATGAAATGTGGCACACAGGCATTAAGTTCTTCCCTATTAAGTGCAAATAAACAAATAAATCTGTTTAAACATTATCTGTCGTAAACACACTGTCTTCGTTATGAAGAAAGTTGTGAATTCATTTTCTTCACTTTCTATGCATGCAGTTTCGACGTCGACATCACTGTTATCGTCATATAAACATCCCGAACTGTCCGGTTTTATAAATTTATTACAGCCTGTGGCAGTGGCATTCTCATTCGGTTATTTTCACGATGTTTTAGCCGTATAGCCGATATCACAGGGTCGGATGACACGAGCGCCCTGTGAAATAAGTCTGTCATGGTATGAACCTTAGAATCTTTCCGGCTGTGATGTTCTCTGTCCTGACGCCAAAACTTGTTCCTGGATTCTCCTGCCTGTTCGGAGAGTAGTCCAATGGGTAGCGCTGAATTCTCTATAATTTTCTCTCCGTGAATTAGGATTTTGTGAAGGGTAGTAGTCATAGGGTGCCAGTTGTAGTTTTCTACGTATTTTTTAGCTATATTTTTACAAAAAGTACCGAATTTTTGGGCGTCTATTGGTAATCCCGAATTGATGGCTATTAAAATTACATTTAAATCATGTACGAGCCATTTCTCAATATCAAGTATATTGGCAAACGTCTGGCGGCTTTGTTCACTTTTGAATACTCGACGAGCCGTATTACCATCATTCGTGGTCCCTGAGTTAGGCTTAAAAACGTCTACCAATAGACCCATACTTTGCTTAGTTTGATTTTGGATTTCTTTTTTTCGTTCTGCAGTAATTTGTCCTATGTCAGAATTTTTTATTACTCGCCACTGTCTGACTCTCGGGTCATTTTTGTATCCCAAGTGAAAAAATGACCCAAAAGTCAGACAGTGGCGAGTAATAAAAAATTCTGACATAGGACAAATTACTGCAGAACGAAAAAAAGACAGTTCGGGATGTTTATATGACGATAACAGTGATGTCGACGACGAAACTGCATGCATAGAAAATGAATTCACAACTGTTCTTCATAACGAATGATAATGTTTAAACAGATTAATTTGTTTATTTGCACTTAATAGGGAAGAACTTAATGCCTGTGTGCCACATTTCATCCAAACAAGTTGGCCCACAAAAGTGGATGATTATGTAACAAACATACCAAACACATTTATAATCTTATATAAATAGTAAATAATATAATAACAACGTATTTATATAGTTATTATAGTATAATATTTAAAAAGTAGCATAACTACGTTTTCAAAATTAAGTCTTCAAAATGTGGGACATTGTCCCACAAATTTAAATTCTTAATATTTCCGATATACCACCGAGTTAAAGCTTGTTATTTTTTGAGTTGATAGTCTACATTATTAACTACATTTTGAACTAAATTATAAACTTTAATATTGCATAACATGAGCACAAAAAATTAAAAACGAAAATCACTAAATCGCCGATTTCTCGGTTCCTACAAGCTCTAGGGCAGCCATAGAAGACTCATAATATGGATAAAAATAATACCTTTTGAAATACAATGTAAAAAATAAAATAACTGTAATAGTTTAGACAAAATATTTTTTTTATTTCTTTTTCACAATGTGGTACAAAAAAAGAAAAACCGGGATTTCGTCGAAACTATTATAGTTAGAATCGTGGGAGTTTACTCTTGCGCTTAGAATGAAGAGCTTTATCTGATTCACCTTTAATCAAGGGAGTGGTCATTTTGAGGTGAAATAACACAATGTGCCACGTAAATGTAGCGAAATGGCCAAGCCACATAATAATATTTTAAAAAAGGTGTAGTTTATGAAGTAAGGCCTTGTAGAGTTAGAAACTTGGCTCTACATGAGATCTGATAGGTTTTTGACAGTGCGAGTCACATGGTCCCGTGTTGGCAACATTTTACATTTAAATGTTTTTGTGAGATTATTGCTTTTAATTTTGCTTGTGCAGTCTTTTTCAAACGACTGCCAAAGAAAAAATGTATTGTTTTTATTAGTTTATTTCTATTTTATTCATGTATTGTTGAACTCTTGTTCTAACTGGTCTGTTTTATCTTGTAATTTAATATTTTCCCACTGTAACTTCGTTCTATTTCTTTTAATTTTTTTTCTCACTTGAACTAGATTTTCGAGGGTTTTCTGGTATTGGCACTAGATTTGCGCATTTGAGAGTTGTTTCCTCTCCCTTTTTTTTATTCTAATGTCCTCATTTTCGCTTCATAATCTGATGTTCTCTGACACTTATGTCTGTCACCAGCCTCTTTCGAGCATGGTATCTCTCTAGATCCTTGCGCTTCGCTTTAGCTTCCTTCTCTGGGTATATTTTTCGTTTTTCTCGATAACACCGCTGTTTTTCTGCTGGCGTTAAAGCCATCTTTTTCACCTTTATAATATATTGAATTAGAAAATAAGTAGGTTTTTAAGTAACTAAACATTCAAGTAGGTAGATAGAAAAATGGGGTGGAGTGAGGCCTAAAGCTGTCAGGCCAAACTGGTTCTAAGATTGTCTTTTTTCTTTTAATATAAAAAAATAACTCTTTTACATTACAAGTATTCTAATCTCTATTACATTTTGTAGTTAACGAATTGTTTAATATCATTCGTCATCATTGACGTATAAGAACAAGTAGACTCACAATCACGCTCAAATATTGTGGAAGCGAAAGTGCAGTTTTCTAAGTCTTGTTTCGATCCAGTTTCTAACGTGTTGGTCACAAAATATACGTGAACAAATAGATGTGAAGCCGGCTATTAAAGATTATAAACCATGTGCGTTTAAAAATGCATTTTTCGTTATTGACGGTTACTGAACCGCATTTTATGCTTGTCACGGTTAACAAGCACCGCGACTGGTGGATTTATTGGTACTGGCATAAGATGAGCCGGCGCATTTAGAGTTGTTTCCCCTCTCTTCTTTTTTTATTCCATTGTCTCCATTTACGCTTCATAATCTGATGTTCTCTGTCGCTCATGTCTGACACCAGCCTCTTTCGAGCATGGTATCTCTCTCGACCCTTGCGCTTCGCTTCAGCCTCCTTCTCTGGGTATTTTTTTCGTTTTTCCCGATAACGCCGCTGTTTTTCTGCTGAAGTTAATGCCTTCTTTTTCACCTTGATAATATCTTGAAATAGAAAATAAGTAGGTTGTTAAGTAACTAAACATTCAAGAAAATAGAAAATGGGGTGAAGCGAGACCTAAGGCTCCAGTCAGCCAAATTGTTTTTATGATTTTATTTTAAAATAAAAAATAAACTTTTCATTATTCAACGTTACAAGTATTCTAACATCTACAGTCAGTTACTCGAGAACGTACGGGCTATAACTTCAAAATTAGCGGTCAGGGGTGGCGGGGGGTGTCATTTTTGAGATCAGGAGACACAACTCCATCATGCATCGATGTTAACTCCTAACCCGTTATGCTCGACTCATTAGAGTGCAGCAACTGCTGCACAAGCTGCAGCGTGACGTCTATGCCTGCACGTCGGTCCGATGCACATTCAGTGCACATGCAGCTTGCTAGAGCGCCGATCGTGACCTTAGCTCATACGCGAGTTGGGATACCTACTGGACGCGGTGTCGCGTCAGCTTATTCTATGTCAATGAAACCAACAAGTATACATAATAATTTTTATTTCAAAAAGTAAAACAAATAAAAAGCATCGCTATAATGAGCGAACCTAAATACCGCACAGGTGACAAAGGACATGTAATGACTATCTCAAACAGTATTAAGGTACTTGTGATAATTAAAATCTTTAGTATTAATTCGGATCTGGTAGGCCACCGAGGAATCCAATTCCTCAGGTCCCCATCAGCGATGTTCTCTTGATGACGTGGGAGTGTCGGGTCGGTATTGTGTCGGCTTTCTGTGCTCTCGTCAAACGGGATCCGGTCGGATCGGTGACCTGTAAACAGATAAATTGACATTAATTTTGTTGGACCTCACAAGACGTTCCGATGGGTTGGCGCACACGATAACGTTTTTGCTCAGAATAACGTTGATATGAGTTTGTAGAAATACTCACTTCTTAGCATCTTGGGCATTTTGCAGTCTTTGGCAGTCACGATCTAGTAGCTGCGAATGGCGAAAGAAACGGACGTTGACGTCCAGGTCTTCGGTCACAGTGTTGCTCTGGACGAACTAGTTCACGCCGTGGCTGTTTATGAGCTAATGCTTTCCACTAGGAATGATCGCTATTTATAATAGCCTATCGATAACAGTTTCAGGATAATGATCAGAAATATGAAACCACATTGGCGCAATCCACGGTAATTAAATATAAAATAATCGTCAAATAAAATTAACAACAGCGTCAATTTTTATATCGATTATATTGGTTTTCCAGTAATTCTGATGTCAAAGTACTTTCCAGTTATGCATAACTGATTAAGATTTATTTAGTCATATACTGTTTGTGTTTAAACCGGAGTAGATAGAGTTTGTACCTAATGTGGACAATAATCGAACACTACAAAGTGCATACGTTTTGACATGCTAAGTTTCATGAACCCCGTCCAAGACCTTACGTGCTAACTAGATGCTTCGTGTCTCAGCCACACCATCGGGCTACCGATACGGTCAGCGCGACACAAGAGCCCACTACGGACTCTAACTTCAGAGTTGAGGCTCCAGGGTAGCGGGGGGGGTGGTATTTTTGAAATCACGAGCCATGCTCTATCATACAACGATGTTAACTCCTAAGCCGTTACGCTGGACCCATTAGAGTGCAGTAACTGTTGCACAAGTTGCAGCGTGACGTCTATGCCTGCACGTCAGTCCGATGCACATTCAATGCACATGCAGGCTACGTTCGGGGAGTCGCTATTAGCGCGAAAAATGCTACCTATAGGTATATTATTTGCTGGTACCGTTTGTGTTCACAGCGCAGATAGCGACTCCCTGAACGCGCCTGCAGCCTGCTAACGGACTGATGGCGACCTATCAGGTGTATACGTGAGTTGGGATACTTACTAGACGCATTGTTGCGTCAGCTTACTCTATGTCAACGATACCAACAAGTATTGCACAATATAATTTTTATTTCGAAAAGTACAAAAAAACAAGAAAGCATTACAATAAGCAAAATTATAAACCGCACGGTTTACAGATCAAACACAACCGACATCTTAAACACTGTCCAGCCTATTCATGGAGTTTAAAACTACCAGTATGTGTTCAGGTCCGGGCCACTGAGAAATCCAATTCGGGTCCCCAAGACCCGGGATTTCTTGACAACGTGGTGTTCACCTGCCGGGAGCCCGAATCGGCAGCGGGACCTCGTGGGATCGGTGAACTGTAAATTGAAAAATTGACATTAATTTCGTTGAAGCTTTTACAAAACGTTCCGGAGGGTTGGGTCACGCGCTAAACTCTTTGCTCAGAAGTTGCAACACTATAAAGAAACTTGGATGTGATATCAGTTTGTAGAAATGATATACTCACGTCTTGCGGGCGACAGGGCAACACCGGCATAGGTTCTGGCCTCGCGTCCGCAATCAGGACCAAAGTCATCAAGACCAGCAAACTGTTCATTCTGGAGAACTTTTGGATCCACGATGGCGTAACTGTAAATGAAAAAGAAAAAAATATTAAAGTCAGACGTTAAAAAGGTCCGCCTTCCCTGAAAGGAATGCGCAGGAGTAAATAAAAATGCATAAAGTAATTAAAATAAATACTGGATACTTACATAGAAAGTCGACGTTGATATCGGCGGGGGTCACGGTGTTGCTCTGGAAGGACGTGTTTACGGAGCGGCTGTCGATGAGCTTATAAAAATCGGGAGGGACCTAAGGGCGTTATATAGTGGCCCGCTGATACGAGTTGCCGTAAGTTAGGCACTGCAGTTGGATAAACTCATGACGCAATTTGAGGAAAAATAAAAAGAGAATAATCCTGAAATAAATTTAATCAATAATGGGGAAATTGCGATCGGATAATATATTTTTGCGTCATCTGTTAGAAATAATGGTGTAATTATTATTGGAATGCGCAATAACTATTTTTGTAAATTCCGCGGTCAACGCGAGTCATACATTTTTACGCCATAATTAAATTAATAACGACATGTTGTTTGTTTGCAAACTGGAGTAGAATTTGTGCCTAAGGTGGCCAATACGTTTGCAGAGTACAAAGTTTTGACATGCTAACTTTTTCAAACTCCGTACAAGCAGAAACTTGCACGCCTATCAGGTGCTCCGTGTCTACTCGGCCGCACCATTGAGCTACCGATAAGACCGTGCCGCACGTGACTATCCGAGGCTGCATCGAGATCTCGGTAACGCAATGGAACGAGCTGCGACGAGTGCGCTATCTTTGAAGAAAAAACCATGTATTTCGCTCGAGCGTATCAACGGCGGCTTGAGCCCATCAGAGACCACGTCCGCAACATACAAAAAGTTCAGCTAGCAACGGATTGTTCGACTTTTTATAACACAGCCTGAAAGTTCTGCCATGATGGGTTTCGGAGCTGCGCATAACAACGTGGATGTGACGATCCTTTTTAATCAACCACAAATGGCGCACACTGGCGTAAACTCCCTTGAATTCCCAATGACATAATTGAGGTAAAGCAGTAACATTAATAAATGGCGATACATACTGTTTCGTTACCGTTATCCTCATGTGGTAACAGTACTGTTACAATTACGTTATCCAGCTAAGAGGTAATAATTACACTGGAATTCACGTACCAACTAGCCCTGGTAGTTATTGTAAATCCCGAGATAACGTGTTCGGTTGCCATGGTCACAGAATAAGAGACGTGACAGAGGTTTTCACCAACGTGTCACTTGCTGCCTTATTCTCGCCGTCCGAACAGGACGGTGACCCGGCCGACAGAGGTTGCATAATGTTTATCCTTCACATAACATTGGTGCGTCTCGGGCATCGCTGCACATTACAGCATACGGAGATCGCGTAAGACCGACGTCACACTCGTGTACGTTTGCGACACATGAACACACGCACACATACGCATACAAGGAAAACGACTTGTGAGCTGAGTAGAGGTCACAAAGGTTTTAAGATGAAGTAATATTTTTAGCAGAGGTCTGACCGTCTGAGCGCAGGTAAGCCTTGCTCAGTTACGGTAGATTGTTCACCTCATGTTCGGTCATCTTGACCGACGTCACACTCGTGTACGTATGCGACACATGAACACACGCACACCTACGCATACAAGGAAAAAGTCTTATGAGCTGAGTAGAGGTCACAAAGGTTTTAAGATGAAGTAATATTTTTAGCAGAGGTCTGGCCGTCTGAGCGCAGGTAAGCCTTGCTCAGGTACGGTAGATTGTTATTTAGACGCTGACGCTAGCCTTAAGGTCGACGTTACGTTACTAGGTTGCGCGCCAACGGGCTCGTTAGCTCTGCCAC